CCGTACGTAGTAAAAATAGGTTAAATGATTTCATTCGTCTCGCCATTATTTTCTCTTCCTATAAAATTTCATATTTGACGAGCTATATGATGCATTATTATTCTTATTTTCTCGTAAAAGGAGAATTACTTTTTAATGCAATTGCAATTTAGAAAAAGTTATTCATCGAAACCGTGCCCGTGTTTCAACACGGTTCAGGAAATAAATGTAACCACGATGGTGAAATATCTTACAGGTGGTCAGGGATTCATCAGACCGAGACGCATCGATCGTTTACACGTAATTTGTACTACTAGCTTTTTCCTACTTTTTCTTCTTTAAATTCGCTCTTACAATTTTACCTTTCATTTATTTTTTTTTTCGACCTAATAAAATTTTAAATCGAACGCTTTTTAAAATTTTTTTTTTAAACATTGATTTCCATTTCTGCAATTTTCACTTCTACAAATTTGAATTAATAAAATTTTAATCCAATATCTTCTTTTCACATTGATTTCACGCTTTCGTTTCTGCAATCAACTTCTAAAATTCCACTTATTTTGTTCGAATTAAAAACTCTGATCTAAATCTTTCATTTTTTAAAATAATGGTTTCATATTGCACTCCACTCTAATTTCTTCTATTATTTATTTTTTTTCTCAATTAACAAAACTTTTTGTTTTAAAATAATGATTTCGTATTTTCAATCGGTATTGCAGATTGCAACATCCTAATAAACTGACTCGCATTAGAACGCAAGCGCAATCCGCGATTCTCGTCGAGGCTTGTACGTAGTTGCTTTCGCTTTATCAGTCGCGTGATCTCGCTGCGCGGATACGCACGTGTTACGTACGTATTTTGATCGTGTTGAATTTACAAACAAATTAACTCGAATAAAAGTGTACGTAGTGGGCTTCTAAGAAACGGATTAAGGAATGGATTCAGATGATTAATTTATTTATTTACTTTTAGTGCTCGTATTGTGGCGTGATGTCGTGGTAATTTCATTACTTTATAAATAAGATCTTTATAATTATTTTTAGTTTGTCTTTATTAATTATTTCGGAGAAGAATCATTATTAATTTTTTGGAATGCATTTATTTGAGAAATATTTTAAATCGATCTGTATGTTCCTTGTATAATTATTGTAATTTTGAGGTTAATGCAGAAATTTGACATTAAAAGTATGAATTTTTAATTCATTTTTTTTTATCGTGTTCGTATCTAAGTATATCAAGAGAAATAGACCGGTTTTATGTGGTGATATGATTGACATTTTGATATTTCATTTACTTTGCAATGCAAAAATTATTCCTTTGTCGAATAACGTACGATTGAACATGAAAATAAAAGATTCGCGAAATTAAAACCGTGAAAAGTTAAATAAATTTCATAGTTTCTTCAAAGTTAATCGATTCTTCTTCAAAATTATCTTTCTCAAATAATCAGAGCTTCCTTCGCGCGAACAAAAGAAGCCATATAACTTCCTGTTGTACAACGACCTTAATATAGGTTAAACCTCTGTTCCTTATCTACGATCCGATTTTTCGCGTAAAACCTTCATCTTCTTCCGTTGAATTTCTGCACGCCCTGATAATTTTCAGAGAATCGGAAATGCAAAGACATTCGTGAACGCCTATTGATTGTGGGTCGTTTTATGTGCGATAGGAGTAGGTCAATGTAAATTATAAAGGAAAATAATATTTATGAAATGAAATTCGTACTATTAAAAACTTGTACTATCGATAGGCTGGTGATATTTATGCAAATTTAAATTTTTTCAATACAATTACAAAAAAAGAAACCGACAAGAATCTGTTTGTCTTTTACATATCGTGTGCATTTTATAGTTTTCTTATATTAAATTTTCCATAAATTAAACGTACGTATTCGCAGTCTAATTATTAAAATTTGCATTAAAGTTTTCGAAATTTGAATAAAGATTTAAGGGTCACTAGCATTATAGTGTTTGATAATTGTAAAAGTAAAACGCGTGATTATTTAGCACTAAAGGTCCTCAAATCTCATGTTTCGTAAGGCAACACCACGAAAGAGAGGCGTATCGCGTATCATTCTTTGAGGTTATGTAGAATGCTGATCCACTTTTACATGCGTTTACGATAATACGATTTGTACAATGCGATCTTTTCGTAATAATTTCTCCCATGATATTCGAAAGGCGATTAATCATTAAATTGTATCGTGTACACGTAAAAGGTATCGATTATCGAACTGTCATGTGCAATGGGCTAATTTATACGCTAATTCCATTTGTCATTATGCGCACACCTATACACAATATGTTTTACTCCCCCTATTAATCAAGATTTTTGTTTCATGATACGTTATGGAAATTGTACATTCGTTCAATTAAAATCGACTGAGAGTTTCTCCACGAAATATCCATTATCTTAATTAATGCATAATTATTTGTTCATAAATCCAAAAATAATTTTCCTCGCGTTCTCGATATCAAACAAAATAAAATATTCGCAAATAAAAAGAAGAAAAAAGAAATCTCTTCGAACAATTTTATCGATATCTTTTTGCGAGAGATATATATTTCATATAGATCATCCACAACAACGAGAAGCAAACGACCGATAAATAGAGAATCACGAGTAAATTAGATTAAGAACAATGGTAACTTGGCGAAAGAGAGAGGACGAAATTAAATCGAAATGAACGATATCTAGGAAGGTTGTAATAACGAACGTTCTCTGTTGTAGAATCACCGAGGCGTTATGTGGAGGGCGAGGTGACGATTCACTATCGTTCACCAGTGCGTACAGAGGCGAAAGAACCATTGAGCGAGGAAGAGCTCGCTCGTCGAAGCGCGGAGAATATGCGACGCGTTTATCAAGAGGAACGGCGTCGCAAATATCTCCAGGAGCTCCACGACATCGATTCGAGGAGGCACACAGATAACTTCATGTAAGTTTCTTCCTTATTTTTTATCTATTTTATTAACATATTGCGATATTATTAATTATTCTACGATGTTTATAATATGATAAAATTTTATTTATCGATGCAGGATTATTAAATTTCGAAAAATTAATTTTTTCATTATTTTTCTTTCTCGCGAATGAATCGAGGGAATGGAGAAAGAAAGGAAGAAGATTTCTTTTTTTTTTTTTTTTTCTTGTTTATTTGAAAATTAATAAGCCAGGGTTATTAACTCGAGGAAATAAAATGTCAGCATCGTAAAATTTCTTTTTCCATTTTTCTTTTTACGGATGAGTCACCTACACTTTAATACGCCCGCGTAAAATAACTTAAGAGTACGTGGCGCATTGCGTAATAACTTGAGTAGTAATGGGAAGAATAATAAATTTATGTCTGGTCTGAGAATGTATTAAAGTGTCGTTGACTTTTCCCTATTCTGAGGTATATATTCGCAAATGGTCAATTTGAAAAATTCCATTGGAAGACTATTATACATTTTGCAAATCAATCTTATATTAAATTATTCGATTTAAATCGAATGGATTTAATAAATGATCGTAAAGAGAAATTATTATTATTAGGAATTCCATTAAATTATTAGAAATATTTAAATCGCAAAATTGAAAATTATTTTATACATGATATTTCATATTGATATTCGATATTTATAAATATAAAATTTCTATATGGATTAGATTTAGAAATTAGACATTAGGCGAAGATAAAATCATCTTTCGATTATATTTCAATTTATAAAAGGAATTAAGAGCAAGAATTCGAAGAATTATTGTATCAAAAACAATTTTCTTTGTTAGAGACCACTTGTTTCACTGACCGTCTCGTATAATTGCACTTTGCGCGGATGTGTAACCGTCTTCTATAAATATTGTGTAAGAATTATTCATTGTTCTGAACGAGGGTAAGAGGATACATGAGCGTAACACATAAGTAACATATACAACTTGAACTGCATAAGAAGACGTGAATTAATTCACAGTTTTAATTTGACACTTAATTCTGAAGTTCCTTTGATTAAATGATATATTTCAAGCTTACATTAGATTTAACTTAATCGAATCGTTACACCACGAGAGATTTCATTAAAAGAAAAATGTAGCGTGTAAATTGTATATGCAACGTGATTTAAGAAGTAATTTATAATACCAAGATATGATTAAAATAATTTTCTAATAATAATTCGATATATTTCGATAAATTCATTTCGCGCAAAATCACGACGAATATTTTTATTCGTTTTTTTTTTTTTTTATTTTTTTTATTTTTTTTTAATGATTGCAGACCATCGCAGAAATCACCGATCCCTTTGAACCGTTACGACGATTTCGTGGATGATTTGAGCCACAGAAGCCGATCCCAGGAGCAAACACCGGAACCTCGGCTCGTGGCAAGGGCGCTTTACAATTTTATCGGCCAATCTTGCCGGGAATTGAATTTCCGTCGCGGTGACATAATATTCGTGCGTCGCCAGGTAGATAAGAACTGGTACGAGGGTGAGCATAATGCTATGATCGGTCTGTTCCCATCGAATTACGTCGAGGTAATTCCCCTTCACCTCTATTCTTTATTCTAAATTTATTAATGAACTTCAAACGTTCATTGATAATATTCGTTATAATAATAATCGTTCGTTAATAATATTTTCGAAAAATAAAATTGAAATAACGGAATAATAAAATTTCTCTCGACGAAAAATTTCTTTTTTTCAATCTCAATTGGTTTTATCGAAATTAAAGATTCAATGTTATCATTGGAGATGCGATCTAGTAACTTATATTTTTTCCTAGAAATGCATGTACCTTCTGGATTTGTGTTTGTCATTAGTCTGAAGTTTGGCATAGATGAATAAGATGCGAGTAAGAATGGAGATAATAAACAATTACTCTTTTCTTTGCACAATGATATCTTGAGAATCGAGATTCGTGTCGAGACAAATGAAAAGACGTTTTAAAGGATAAGATTCTGCGCTTCCAACGATAGCTCACTCGTTGACTTACTGTCTTCGAAGTTATAACGATTCAAAGTTTTCCTAATTTTAATAGGAAAGATATTTATTAAGAAATTATTTTTTCTTTAAACGATGATATTTCTGGAACCAGAAACCGTATCTTGATGAATGAAAGTGCATTTTAAAGTGCAAGATTCTGCGCTTCTAATGATCTTTTATTCATTGACCGGAAATTAATATCTTTGATGTTATAACGGTTCAAAGTTTTTCTAATTTTAATAAGGTTTGATCGTAGAATTTTAAGGTAAATTGTTAGATAAATTTATTCATTTGTCAGATATTTTTGACAATATATTTTCAATTTACAATGGAAAATAATATTATATAAAATAATATTATATTTATATATAAAATTAATATTGTTTTTTGTTGCAGATTTTGCCATACGACGGTATGCGAACCACACCAAAGAAACCATACGAGGGACAAGCACGAGCTAAATTCAACTTCGTTGCTCAAACAAATCTTGAGTTATCTTTGGCCAAAGGTAAATATGAAAAATATATGTAAAATAAAGTAAATTTCGTATCACTTACGAAGCTGCAGCGAATATTTTATTTATTTCTATATAATTAAATAAAAAAAAATAAACTATAATTTATAAAACTAAACAAAAAAAAAAAATTATTTTATAGGAGAACTTGTCGTTTTGACGAGAAGAGTCGATGAAAACTGGTATGAGGGACGTATTGGAAACAGGAAAGGGATATTCCCCATCTCTTATGTCGAAGTTATCACAGAGCCTGGCCTCAGATCAGGTACTATATATATAAAATTCGAAATTCGAAAATAGAATATCTTAGTATTTTAATTTAAATTTTATTTTTATTTTAATTTTTTTTTTTATTAATACTGTGAATGACATTTAATTACAGAAACGCCAACACAAAATAAACCAGTTGCAGCTCCAGCTGCGCATAGCCTTTTGGCAAATGGATCAGCTGGAGGGAAAATGAGTATGGGACCTCATCATTATATGCCGTCCATACCAGTTAATATGAACACAACTCAGCCACACTATAATTCACTGGTTAGTATTTTAAATACGCTGTACTTGTATTGAAAAACGAAATGCTTAAGTAATCAAGATTCTGAATGGTGAAGCTTAGCAAATGTTGTGACCTATTTCTTTTTTTGGAAATACGTCACGAGCAGTAAATACGAAAAACAAAAAGAATGCTGACTTGGCATCTGCTACTGACTAATACACAGATGTTGTATGTTGAGATAGGTCAGCAATGAGAGATGGCATGCGAGCGAGTTATATAAAAAAGATCAAAAATAAATTCTTATTTTAATTTTAATTTTTATTTTTGCATTGATTTAACAATTTTTTTTTTTTTTGTAATTTTCAGCCACGAATGGGAGGAAACAAATTACACGTTTCCGAAGCACTACACATCGACACACACTCTGAACCAATACCGTGAGTTCCTCTCCATTATTTCAAAAAAATTTTTAATTCATTTATTTTATAGGATTGAAAGAAATACGAAAAAAATATTTCTTTCACGTTTAATAATAGAATTATAAATTGCATTCTTTTGAACCACTGAATTTTTTAAGCGTATCATATTATTTAATTTTCTGTAAAATATATAGAAATATTGAAAAAATATGTTTTAAGAAGATATTTGAAAGATTCTGAAAAAAAAGTTATAAAAAAAAATATAGAGTGAAGTTTACTTTCCAAATTATAAATATTAGAAACATCTATGCATCAGCAACATTGACTATCTATACTGATTATTAATTTTAAATGATAATTTGTTTTTATTTTTTTTTTTTTTCAATTCTTTCATTTCATTCACTGATCATTTCTTAATCACTGTTTGATGGTAAGTTGATATTGATTAATTATTTAATTTTTTTCAGATATCGAGCTCTCTACAATTATAGACCACAAAATGAAGACGAACTTGAACTGAAAGAAGGCGACACAGTATACGTGATGGAGAAATGCGACGACGGTTGGTACGTTGGTTCCAGTCAAAGGACCGGCTACTTTGGTACTTTCCCTGGCAATTACGTGGAACGATTGTGAAAAATGACAACGAGCTGTATCGAACCACGATTTACGTTTTACCAAAGCACTAAAAATTCGAATCTTTAAAATAGATAATTTTTAATCGATCGATGATAAGGATCAACGAGATATGTATCTCATTACAGTCTTCCTATTCGTAAATTTCAACGATAATAAAAAAAAATGATACTTTAAAATGAAAAAAAAAAAAAAAAAACGAAAAATATTCAATCAAATGGATACTTTTAGTAATATTCCAAACACATGAGAAACTCATCGAAACGAACCTTATCGTTGAAGATTCACCAAAAAAAAAAAAAAAAAAAAAGAAAAATATACAATCAAATGGATACTTTTAGTAATATTCCAAACACATGAGAAACTCATCGAAACGAACCTTATCGTTGAAGATTCACCAAAAAAAAAAAAAAAAAAAACGAAACTTAACGTTAGGGACTTCATAACGTGTATGTAGTGTATAATAATGTTTAGTAATTTATTATACGACGAGAACGAGTGCGTCAGGCGGACGTTGCGAGGCATCGAAACAAAAAAAACGAACACGACAGGAAATACTTTTTGTTCGTATGGAAATGATTAATATGTAGAAATAATGTGAATTTTTACATACGCAGAATTATCGACAGAATAACGAAACAAAAAGTTTCCGTCGAGCCTATTTCCGTGTAATCATAAAACAGAGCCCTATCGAGAGGACTATCTCTGGTTTCACCAGCAACGAACGAAGTTATTCGTGTTTTTTCGATCAAATGGCAATCGTGAATTTTATCCATTTGTGGACAGAAATTCGAGTTGGGTAAAAAATGTATTAAACCGAAAATTTCTGTTGAATCCCTTTTTTATGCTTTCGGTTATACGCCATTTTCAGTAACACGTGCACGAACAAGACCATTAATCGATAAGCAAGGAATCTGCTTAATCTGTTGACGGTGTTAAAAATAAGAAGTTATCTATTTATCATTAGTGAAATTGCAAATTGTTCGCACCGTACATGTTAAACTTTTAAAACAAACCAAAGAATCATACGTTTCGAGTAATTTAATCTCGAAAATTTTACGACCTAACTTTTAAACGAGAAGTTTGCCTTGTTTAAACGACCTGTTCGCGTATGAGAAACGTATATTAACGTAATTTCGTGAAGATTGTTTCGAATCGTGAGATTTTTCAGTAAAAAATCGATAATTCGAAACGAGAGTTGATTTCAATTCGCGGAGAAGACGTTTTCTTCTGTGTTTGTAGATAAATCAGCCGTGTTATTGTTATATTCGTGAGTATTCAAGAATAAGCGATTTATAATTATATATAATTATATAATTAAAAGTTTGCCTTCCCAAATTAATATTTTTGTAAACATTATTTGTATCCAGAGTTATATATATATATATATATA